ACTTCTTTGCATCCTCATAAATTCTTGCTCTTAAAGATAATAGTTCCATGGCAAGCCTAAGTACAAAAAAACTAGTGAAAAATCAGTATTTCCATAATGACATATAACATAGAACTTCAAAATGAAAAGGTACATCATGAATGTGCAATCGAAATTGTATCTGACAGTGCAAAAATAGAAGATGCTAATAAGAACCCAAGAATGATGTTCTCATTTCAAAAGTTTTCAAAGAATTCTAATATCGAATAAGAAGGATCAACAAGACTATCAGCAAAATGCTGCTCCTAGATTTTGACATAGATATAAAGAAGCTAAATGAATTACATAAAGCTAGCAGCTGCTAATTATCATGCATAAAGAAGATCTGAAGTATCGGCTTCTTACAGAAATGCTTCGGGTTTCAGGTTTGATCTCTTTCTTTGTTGCCCTAGGAGTAGAATTATCCCTATCCTTTAACTCCATGTTCTCTTCCCAGCTCTTCCTCAGAACCTTTGATCCTGACTTGAAAGCTGGAACCAAATTTCCAATCAAAGTCCCGGCAGATGATTTCCTACCAGCTGTGGTTGCTTTTAAAACAGAAGCTGCCCTCCCCAACAATCCAAACCTTGAAGGTGAAGTCTTCTCTGGCACATTAACCTTTGCCTGCTGCGTAACTTCAGAGTGGAGCTTCTCGGACACAGGTGACGGGAAACAGTCCGATGGAGATGAAGGGACTGACCTCAGATTCAATGATCTTGACCTCACATGGTGGACTTCCTTCTTCTCCACATCACTACTAGTCAATTGTTTTGACAGGGAAGAGCTCGATCGACTGAATGACGACTTCTTCTTTTCCACCACCACAACTTTGGAAACGTCCTCCAATTTCCCAGACTTGTTCTTCTCCTTTGCAGATAGTAGATCATCATTTGCATTGCCACTACAGCCATGAGACACCTTTGATTTCTCGCTGCCAAGCAACCCCGAGGAACAAGTGGCCACAAGATCTTGAGGGTTGCCAACAAAAGGATGACGACCAGGGAGAGGCATGACACCTCTAAGAATTGGCACAGGGGAGGCTGCCTCGAGGCGGTCGACATGGATGAATTGGCCTAGTTGGATTTCATCACTCAAGATGAGGTCCACTTGCTCATCAGGTAAGGAGACAAAGGTAGCATGGGAGGAATCAGACACCCTGAGGTAGAATCCCTGGTTCGGATACAGCTCTCCACCGGCAAGAGCAGGGACAATGCTGACGACCTGGAGGACAGATGAGCAATGCTCAACGCCAACTTTCGCATCAGCGTTCATGTGCCGGAGGAGCTTGAGGAGAACACCAGGGACCAACACAGCAGCCATTTCACCTCCGATACAACCAAACTCCTGCAATCACATGCCCAAATTCCACCTTAGAATGGGAAGTTCAGCAGCTACGGTATCCAATCCGGGCAAAAAGGAGCGAATTTTGACAGGAGGAGCTCGATGAACAAGACCGTAAGGGAAAGAAGACGTTGACTATGAACAGATCAAGAGATTCCACAGAAACGCAGTTCGACCATGGAAACCGAGAGTTGGAAGCAGCAAATCAACAAAAGATCAAACCTTTGACCTTGGGGGTTTCATTTATAGTGCTCACGAGGACAGGATGACCAAAGAAAGACATACAACGAAAGAAAAAGTTGGCATTTTGCTTCCTTTCAAGCATTACGTGGTTCGTCTCCGATTTCAACAGGGGGAGAAAAACGAAACGATCGAAGTCAAACACCGTCACAACAAGCAGTACCCGATCAAAGCAAGTATTTTCACTCTACGGGCCGTCAAAAGGGAGGGCAAAGATTAACCTTTCAGCAAACCAGACGCCGAGGGCTCTCCGGCTTCATCGAAGGATGATGCTTCCGCTAATCAAATCAGAGCTCTGGAGACGGAGCAGGTGATGATTGCTCTGCCGCAGCTGCAGCGCTGGGGGTTACTCTGACAGTCCACCTGTTAGTCCTTGTTCGTGGATTCCTATCAGGAAAGAGGAGGGTGGGTCTTCGCTCTCCGGGTGAGAGGGAATGAATCGAGAACAGAAGCGATCAAATGGCAATAATTACAACGAGCGCGGTGTTGGCGTCGCACCGATGTTTGTAAGCTTATTATTACTCTCTCTGGTTGGGGCACTCAATCATTCAACTCATCCATAGTTACTATGGCAATAAAATACCATACATACATACTTACATATATACATATATATATATATATATAATATAAATGTAAATATTATAGATTAATTGCTAATTATTGTTTCATAAATTCTTCATAAATATATTCCATTTATAATTATATTCGAAGCTTCAATTATATGAATGTATAATATGTTAATGACCGAGATGTCTCCATGAATAATAAAATAAAAATATTTTGTTATCTATGCATGAATGCCATATTTACTTTCTTTATTTTTCCTCAATAATTTGCTTAAACTTTTTTTTTTATTGATTTTTCACATGAGTTATACTTCTTATCATAGGTAGTGAAAACCATCTTGGATGCTCAAAATATCCCCATCCTCTCATTTAAAAGCTTTGTCTCATCCTTGACTAAGTTGGTATATATGATTATTTTTGACCCACTCAAAAATTGACATTATCAATATCTTATTAGAGTAAATAATAACATTAGTATATACATTTCTTAAAATAGTAAGGAAAGTGAATCATCATACATTTTTATTTTTATTTTTATTTTTTTACGAAGATGAGATTTGAGTCACGACTTTGCTCTATCGATGTTTTTTCCGATTAAACTAGTCAACACATTTGAAAATATATTGGATGAAGTTTTAAGCACTCAACCTTTTGATAAATGGGTTGACATATCATCATCATATCAATATTTTAGGTATGAAAATTAAATCTAAATTGACCACTAGATCTCTCTACAATTTCGACTTTGTCAGATCAATGCATGATGGTTTAGATTTGAAATTAGCATTTCTAAGTAGATCACAGCCAAAATATCAATAAATGATCAGCCATAAAATATTGCTTTCATTAATATGGTTTGTTTCATAAGAGACTTATTATTTTTAATATTCTTTAGGAGCCAATTATGATATTAAAAACATTAGAGATATTTTATGTTTTTATGTACATCTTAACTCAACAAATTAATATCAACCATGGCCACAAGTGAATAATCTAAGTTTTCGATATTGACATTTAATGAAAATGAAATATATGAAGTATTTTACTATTTGAAGATATATATACAAGATTAATAATGGAAATATGCTATTTTAGAATCTTAAGACATATATGGGTTAAAATATTTGGATTGATTAGTACATTATTGCATAAGTAATAAATTTCAAGTTTGACACCTTTTAATATAATGAAAACTTTTTTAGATTTAAAAAAAAAAACCTTACAAAAATATACATACACATCAAAATCACTCCAAAGAGAAAAAGAAAACAGAAAATTCCCAATGCTAAAACATTGCTCTTTGAATTCAAGAAATAATCATAGAAAGGAAAGAAGAATAAAATGACCCCACCAATCATTTCTAGTTCACAAGAATCTGATCAGAGTTGGTTCAAGAAGATCCTTTAACCTGCCACAATTGCTAGAATGTCCCTCTCAAACACTAACCCAAGAGAAGTTGTTGAGCATGGTGCTATCATAATAATAACTCCATGAAGATAAGGACACTGCAATATCAACACCAATTCTTCTTTACTATGTTGATGGAAACATAAAACACTAAATATGGATTACAAGACAACCATGTAGCAGTTGTCAGGTAGGGGTGAAACTTGCAGTTGCAAGATGTGGTGCAATTATTTATGACTGATTTTGGAGCTTTGTGCATGGTGATGCTGGCTCATTCATTCAATGAGAACCACTGCCAACACCTCCAATGGTGACTCCCCACCAAACCATCTTCTTTTTTGTTAGATAAAATGAGAGAAAAAAAAGGTACAATTTGATCAAACAAACATTTCTGTCATATAATCTTCACACATGACAAACATCAGGACTGCACCATTTTGGCAATTAAGTTTCACATTATTATGTGAGATTTTTTATTTAAATTCCATCGAAAAAACCGGAAAGATTTTACTTAGATTAATGCCATATAATTGCACTTGAGGCATGCCCAAACTATGCTGGCTGCATCCCCATCCTTCTTTTCATTCTCTAATACCAACCTAAGCAATGTTTAGTGAGCCTTAGAACCTGTATTATTATTTTGTTAGAATCTCACCACATGACAGAAGCTGTATGAAGACTCTCAAGTTTGACCATGGTCAACTAGACTTCAAAGATTTCCATTGAATACTGATAACAAGCATCTAAGTGCTATGCCACATATATGATACAAATTATATGCCCAAAGGCTCTGAAGACCCCCATCCTCGTTTAGGTGTTGTCCAAAACAAGGATGGGAAGCAACAACAACATTAGTCTGGGCTGCAAAAACAAAAGCATCTAACAATGCTTACACATGGTTTACTCAGGACAGCCCAGAACTCCTAACAGTTTGCATTTGGGCAGCAACAACAACAGCTACTGTATGAGAGGGGAGGCTGGAGCACAAGAGGAACACTAAGCTCCCTCTTAAATGACACCACAACATTATTTTCAACAATGAGGATCACTACCAAACACCACTGCCCACCAAACAAAAGTATGGAATTATTGCTACTTATTAGCTTTCCGTTAGTCTAACGAATTATCATTTCTTACAAAAATGACTAGCATCTGTGTTTTCTGATGCATTATCCTAAATACTGCACAGGATGCAACAAAAGGGAAACTAAATAGAGTTACTAGTAGGTACTGTAACAGATCAAGTTGGTCATTCCTTGCCTGCGTCTAACATGGGAGCAAATACAGATCATCCACCGGTCAGATCTACATTGGCATGGTTGTCCTTGGCAGGATTGAGTTGGCAAGCTCTTCATTTAACTTCACCGGAAGTGGTGGCATCTGCTTCATTATTTCAGGCATATCATTCAAACTGATAGCACAAGACAGCTCAAGTTAGAAGTTCTGTTCATTAAATTCTGTGTGTTATGGAGTAAAACATATAAGCCTGAGAGTAATTCAAGTATCCATCATAAATCTGAGAAATATCCTCGAGTATCTTATTGAACACATATCCATTATGACTGCAGAAACAAACTTGAAGTATCTATTCTTAACCAGCTAGAAAGAGAGAGTAATGAGCCAAATATTTCAGACAATACCAACTTGAAGTATCTGTCCCCAGCAATTCTTTTAATGAGACAATTTTGCTTTTATCATGGATGAGAGACAGTGGTCTAGTTCCTCTCACACTGAATGATATAAACATTTGACAAAAAATTGATGCTAAATTTGAGGTATCCCAAAAAGGGTTCCTACATGAAAAAAAAAATCAATATAACCAAAAACAATCAGTACTAGTTGTATGACTACCTTGGAATTAATAAAATTTATAGATAAGTAATTCAATTAACTTGGAAAGATGATAGCATGTACAAAAAAATGATGCTGGCACCATAAAGATGACAATCAAAGTTATGCATATGCATGTGTATATATAATTACCAATTTACTGCAAAGGAAATGCACAATCCTCTACAACATAAACGATCATAAAGTCATGTATGTATAAAAGTTTAATAATGAAAGGCTGAGACTTGAAACTTGAAAACATACTCTTTCAAGATTGCAAGTATGTTGTCCCGCGTTTGGCAAAATAAATTGATGTTATCCTGCATCTGTAAGAGTAAAAAAAATAATGTAGAGATTAATTTTGCAGCCGTCATTTTACTTTGGTTCATCATACACACAACAATGTGCATGGAAACATCATGAGGGTAGACGCTTCCATATGAGTCAGCAAAATTTGATCAAAAATTCCAATTAGAAAATAAGCTTTGTTCAGTGTTAGAAAGTTCACTTCCATCATGTTGACTACTTTAAATAACTTAATACACAGAAACTGAAACATGTATATGCTGATACCCTTAAGTTAGCGAAGTTTGCCGATATTTTAGTGAAGGTCTCTGCATTATTCTCAAGAAGCTCTCCTGTTTGACCACCAATTGCTGCAAAATAAAAATGACATCCGGTAAGGTCAAAATTAGAAATATCACATTCTTCATTAAGCAACTTCTAGCATGCACATGAAATTTATTTTATGCATTGGTTGATTCTAACCCACTGCTAGTTCTTGTGGTCAATTACTTATTCTTCTAGCATAAACATTTAAAAATATGAAAAGATGACTCTGTAGATAACAATAAACCCAACCCTAAATCACCACAGAAGGTGGAATATGACACCGAATGTAACAGCCAAATGAAACAGAACCTGTATATGAAATATCATCATCATCCACAGGAAGCATTGGCGGAGTATACAGAAGAACATTAGGTCGTGTCCCAAGGTGCGCTGATGATTTAGCAGAAGTTTCTGTAACTCTCTCCTGCAGCAGAAAGATAACTTCATTTGATCAACCTTTGAAAAATTAAATCAGTTAACAGGTTTAGAAAGCAATTACACAGATAAATACCACATTCATTTATAGAAAGGGAACTATCGCATGCTATTAGCTGCAATCTTTAATAGATTATATAAAACAAAAAATGCATACTCAAGAGATATCGTACAACATACAGAATAATTCACTGTGGAATAGAACTGCTCAAAGTTAAACATCATTCCTAAACTACTATTTTCTTTACTACAAAATTGCTTCAAAAGTAATTTTTTATCATCCAAATAATCCATAATTTGACAGGTCCATATGTGACAGTAAAGATGATACAATCCAATGCATCAAATGGAAGCATTTGCAGTGTATTATTAATTTTGCTTGATAAAAAGGATATTTCTTTTAGAAATGAATCACTGGGAAAATTTCTAAAAGAGGTTAGCCAGTTATGTAATTAGAAGTGATGCCTGCTACTATTGTAACATGCCCAAAACTCCTTATGTCAAATGAGAAGTTGGTAAACTGACTAATTGCTTAAAGAAAGAATCAAATACACCATTTGCTACTTACAATTTTAGGGTCAAATATATACGTATATCAAATGCATCATTTTTAAGCATCTGTAGGATGCTTAAAAATTCTTCATACAGAGGCAGATTTAATCACACATATACATATTGGCCAAATACATTGTGTTTGAATCTAAAGAAGGCAAGCATCAAGTACTTAAAAGCTAAACTCCAAGCACATGCACACACATTTGCTTTCTACAATCAATCATAAATATGACAGCTAATGTAAACCTAGTTATTTATAGACATGACTATGATTTGTGTCCAAAGAAAGAACTTCTGCTATACATCTAATGTTGGCCAGAACACAGTCTTCAACAGAACATGACATGATGAAAACTATATTTCTCAAGTATAAGCTAGGGAACATGCAATCCCTAGATTGTATGTGGTAAATATTTATGCACATATAAACCCCAATGGGACTAGTTTGGTTCAACCAAATCCACAATATAAAGCTTTGTATGCACTCTGAAATTTCTGAGAATTTCTATGTTAATATTGTTAAAGTTGGTATTTGTTAAAATAAAAGCAACATCATAATCATTGCATATATAGGAAAATAAGCTGTTAAATCAAAATCCACAGACTAGATATTCACACAAAGTATTTCATACATACTAGAAATAGGTTGGTGCAGAACATCCAGTTATGAGACAATATCTGCAGCTGTTGACCAAATCACTGGACACCATTTTCAGTAATATTTATTATTTTGATCATTGCATTTCCTAGTCATCTAACACTTTGATGTGACCCTAACTGACTCAGCAGAAACTAATAAATAACTCCAGTCACATTCTAGTCCAGCAAATCTAACCTTCAGACAAGCCAGCAAATCTGCATACTCCTCTCAGCCTATCCATTTTCCCCTTTCCTATGTTCTCTCTTTGACACATAATCATCACTAGCATGTCCTCCTACCTTACCTTGTTCTTTCATCTATGAAGTCTTTCATATACTATGATCCAACACAAATGAGGTTCACACCGCAGCACAGACGTCCATCAGTAGATTCCCAACTTTTTAGCCATGTGACTCCAGAGCACAATCCTTGATGCAGATTCCCCACCTGCTGCCCAAAGCCATGTGACTACCCACTTTCTATCTCATCTTTCACTTATGAATCATTATTATCCTCCATAAAATCATGTGGATCAGTCTCAATTAGCTTCCTGCCAGACTAGGTCAGAATTCCATGATCGTTTTAAATACCAACAATGTAAGCCTGAATAGTGCAGGCCAACCAAAACATATCTTAAATTGAGCAGATCTCATGCTGATTCTCCAGTGAACATTGTAAATATTCAAACTAAGGCATGATTAAGAAAAGAATGTGCCATCTAAAAAATAATTGAGCAAAGAAAAAGTGGAATTAGTGGATTTTGAGAATTAGATCGGACAAAAATCACTGAATCGGATGGTTAAATCAGAATTCTTCCGAAATAAAATAAAACAAAATCCAAAAAGAGAAACAAAAAAAAAATCAAAAAGAACATCTGACATACGAAACAAAAAGGAATCTGAATTATAGAGTAAACAAACAGGTAATGCATATAAAACATTATTATCACCACAAGATTATAACCAAAAAAAAAAAACTGGATTCACATATTAGTGGAACATTATCCATTATCTTTAGTAGAAACTAGCAAGTCTAGGTAATTAAGTATTGGTAACTTCAAATATAAGAAACCATAAAACATTCCAAAAACATGTTTGATAACAAAACAGAAACTAAAAAAAAAGAAAAAACAAGACAGTAACTGGGAAAAAATAATTATCCAACAGATGAAATGCCTACTGAATCAATCAGACATTTAGTAACTAAACCATAGATAGAGAATGCACACCTAGATACAAGCAATGGCTTACCTTCTTATCTTTACTTTTCCTTGTCAAGTTATGATCCTCTTTCCTTCTCTTACTGTTCTCCTTTTTCTGGAAGAGAAAATAAAACTTGTTCAAGCAGAAAAAAACTTCATTTACATAAATGAAGATAAAATCCAAAAACAAGTAGGTAATATATAAAGTAGGCAAACAGATTGAATGCCCATGGTGATCTTGTTTTACTACCATAAGAACATATCATAGAACATGTACTCAATGATGATATGATGATAGAACCAATAGTATTGCTGTAAATAAAATCGCAATGCATAATTCTTTGATTTCATTAACAGATGGTTCAAAATTAACAGAGTTTTATGGAAGAAAGTGTAAATTATTCTGTTTTCATAAGTTGTAAAATGGTAGATTTACAAATTGATAATGAGAATGGTAAACAATACTTTCTAGACACAGAATTAGATCCCCTGCCTTTAATTAAGTACATACAGTGTGAAGCAGTAAGCAGGGTAATATATATGCTTAGCACAACCACTCATGAGATAGTACTTATCTGGTATATACTATGCCAATAGCCATAATCTGCAAGAGGCATTGAAATCCCTGCAAGAAAATTCCAAACAAAACTTGTTTTCCACTCTGATTTTTAACAACTATTTTCTTGTCACTGCTTACTATTGTCACCCTCGGTAATGAACAAAGAAGTGAACTGCATTTGTGCTGACAAAAACCACTCAGTTTAAAGCACTCAGTTTTTCAAACAAGGTAAAATGCCTATCCTAGTCACTTATGCAATATAAATCTGTCATAATAGACTCAAATTGTCCCTCCTTGCCAAAGCCTGTTCCACATGGCTCTCTCCTTGAACCACAAAAATTACCCCAATAAACGAAATGTAAAGGAAAGGTTTGGTTGTTTGCAAAGTGCTTCCTACATGACCAGCATAAAATTCTTAATATAAAGAACCATGTTGACAGGGCATGTTCACTGATGAAAATATATTAAAATAAAGAAGCATTCTGCCAAGCAACAAATTGTCAAACTTACCGTCAGCCATCTGCACCGCAAGGCCACATCACGGACTGTCTTGTCCCGTAACTGAGTGGCAATTTTTGCATAACGCACTATGATTGATTCAGATGCATATCTACAATCCAAGCAATCACCAAACTCGAATTAATAAAAGAAAAGTTTGTATAAAAACTCACGCATACATTAGTTTCTAACAAAGAGAAAGAGATCATATAACAAAATAATTCACTATACTATGATGAGAAAGGAGTAAAGAAACACGCTCGAAGACATATCTTAGACCAGATGCAACAATGATCAAGCGGTTTCTATTTATTAATCAACTTGGAGTTGCTTTTTGCTCTTAACACCATTGTCATTATCATTTTTTCTTGCATAAAAGTTTTAAGAAAGTTTGTTTTGAACCAATATACACTATATGATAAGTTCAGAATGTGTCACCTATGATGAAAGGTAGGTCAAATTATGGTATATTATACTAACACAAGACTTAAACAATCAGGACCACAAGTAGATCCAGCATTGACATGTGATGCATAGATGAACTTATATCTTTGTTAATTTTTGCTCTTAGAACATATGTTCCTCGGCTAATCCATCTTTTTACTTACTGGTTTATCAGAAGAATTATAAGCTTCTACTGATGATATACTTGGTTCATGGTACAGATATTTTTATAGCAGGGTTATATCTAAGAATTGTCACACAATAACTTGTGACAAAATCTTATCTCAGAAGATCAACAGTGAGTTCATCTAGGTATAACAATTATTATTTAGGCCTTAAACTTTTCATCCACTCCATCCTATTTCTTAAAACATTTCAAAGTCCACGTCCTTGCTGCCTCACACCATGCACATGCAGCACCGTAAACAGAGCTGCTTTCTCTTCAGCATCACATCAATTCCTGTGGTCAAACACGTTAAGAATTGTTCACATAACTCAGTCACCTTATCATAACTCCTCCATTTTTAAGGAAGCTCATGGTTTACTATGTCATGAGAAAAAGAAAACCTGTTGCAGATGTCTTTAAGTGGATAGACGTGTTCAGTAAATCCACGTGCTCCCATCACTTGGCATCTAAAACGATAATTTTTTTCCCATATATACCACAAAATAAGATGACGCAAATCTCTAACTTTATTCGAGCAAAAAGGCCACATGAAGTTCATAAATGTAACATCTAAAGGACATTAATCTAAAAAAAAAAATTCTTATCATGAATAGAACAATTTAATCCGGAAATGCTCCAAACGGCAAATATAGCATTAAGAGCCAAACAAATTGAACATGAGCAGAACTTGTCACAAGGAAAGTAAAGAAGAAGTGCTATCAAGAGCCAAGAGGAATAAAGTTCCTCCACAACGGAGGAATTAGAGTTCAAGCTACGTACTTGCTAAGCCCTTCTTCCAAGATGGTCTGCTCCTCCGAGGACCACTCAATCGACAGCCCCGGGTCATGCTTCAGCGCCTGCGCGGGCCCTGCTACTGCCGCCCCCGCCGCCATGGTGCCATTGCTAGGGTTTCCGGGAACCGACGCGCCACCACCTCCGCCACCGCCGCCTCCAGATAAGGGACCGCCGTTGGCTCCATCCGGGTTCCCCGACGGGTTTGCGCTGGCTCCCATCAGCCAAAAGACCTCTCGAAAATCCCCTCCGTTTCTCAAAAACTCCCGCTGGTTCCGGCCAATTCGAACATTGTTCCCGCCCTATGGATCGAAGGGGGACGAAGTCAGGGACCTGGCCACGAATCCGTTGAGAGGAAGGAGGCGTCGTCGACGAAACAACTGTTGGATGGAAAGGAAGAGGAAGATGGATAAAAATCGCGCTTTTGGGACGGACCTTTGGCTCCGCTGGGTTTGCTCGGTCCGGTCTTCAGAATTGGAAGGAGCAAATTCTAAGGTTGGATTTAAACTCTTCTTGTCTGTAATTATAATTTTGTTTCTTTCGGTAGCCGCCGATGAGACGGAGATATTATTAATTTCTTCCCACTCGTTTAACCGAGGATAGAAAATAGAAATAGCTAGGCGTTGGTCCAACCGGGACCCGCCTCTTGGTTCAATCACATGGTAGGTAGAGCGGGAGGCATACCGAAGGGTTTGCTGGTTTCTCGATCAGGTTGGTAGACGAATGTCGTGTCTTAATATTAGGATGAGATGATGTGCTTACAGAAAACTTCGCTTACCGGCTCGGCAACTACCCGCGCAACGACCCGCCTAATGAATAGAGATCCAGCGTTTCCCGTTGGCACCAAGTTACCGGGAATGACCTAATCCGTCTGGTGTCTTTTTATGGCGCGAGCTCGTGACAACTCCCATGGAATGGGGATTGGATAAGCATTAATTATGCTTGTAGTGTCCAAATCCATATCCTCGAGTGTGGGAGACACAACATCTTCCTTCCTTTTTATTTTAGTTGTGACTTCTTCCACGCCTGCGTGCGTGCATATGTTATTTCTTTGCATAAACACATCTGGGAAGGATTCCATGTGTCACTCGAACCACGAGGCAGGCTCGCAATAGAACACACCGACACAAAGGAATAAAAGAAAAAAAAGAAACCACAGGGGCAATTGAAAGAACGAGATTGCAGGCAGAATAAAAAGAGTTTAAAGGGCAAAAGAATCGACAAGTGAACACTTGGCTGCCATGTTTCGTTTATCAGACATCATCAAGAAGGGGGTGGGTTTACATCAAGAACGACTACACTCCCATGTCCTGTGTTCACTGCTATGTTCTTCGCAAAGAAGCAAATTTCTGGATGAAGAATATCCTGCATTAAATATCCTGATGTGAACTGGAAATGGCCTGTTTGCTAGAACAATATATAGTAGGCCCTATAAGTGATAGGAATTTAGATGGTGGAAGATGCATGAAGAAATTGATTAGTGATAGAACACGAACTACAGCTGACACCTAAAAAGCTAAAATTTCTTTTAGTGAGGTCATTGTAATATGTAAAACTTCTTTCGCCAGCACTGAATTAGTGACAGATAATTACATAAAAAAAAAGGTGATTGTTATCCACCGTTCATCAGTAATCCTGCGGTGTAGTCAAGACCGATATCAGCAAAGGATTAATGCTCTGACTGCTTGAAGTCAACATCTAATGCTTTGAAGTATTTGGGTCAAATCAGAAGAATCTGTACAGATATGCTGTAAAAAGAAAAAGTTTGTGAGTGCATAATTCAAATGACGAACACTAAAATAAACTAAAAAAACATACTGCAAGAAGGTCAAACTCAACCAACAGTTCAGGAGGAGACATTGGAGCTAATTTGACAAGCAGTACACCACAAGGCTTGGAGGAAGAATTCTATGTCTCTTGATATTCAAATTGCAAACCTCGAGAAACTCCGAGAGAACAAAGGCTGGTAGGTGCTACAATATAAGTGGAAAAGATGATTTATTGTTTATGGACTCATTAGCAGGTCAAACAAGAGACAGGATTTCTCCTAAAAGCCTGTTTGGATGCAAGGCAAGAGGTGAGAAAAACTTCCAACTGAAGAACCTTTTCATGAAAATTAATTTGCCTGGCTAGTGAGAAAGGAAATTAAATTATCTTTTCTCTTTTCCCTTTCTTGTGTTAGCAATGTTAGAAAAACTTAAACACTATTTTTTAAAAGATATGTTGAAAAGTTATAAAAGTGAAGATTTTTTATCAATTCTGGGAAAAAAATGTAAATTTTCCAAGAAAACTGAACCAAGATTTCTATATATTTTATTTTCCAATTAAACAGACATGAATAAGAAAAGTTATCCATAAATGGCAAATTTCTGTGAGATTCTCCTTACAACCTCACACCCTGGATATTATACGATGTCCCAGAGAACTTCATGAAAACCAACTTCTAGATATTTCAAACATGAAATTTGTCAGACTAAATTCTCCTTTGCTCACGAGTCTAATGGATATTTTACAGATTTCTAAAATGTCATAAAAATTGGAGAGTTAAAAAGTCAATGATGCTAGGTAATACCTACATGTATCCTCAAAACAAAAGTTTACCAAGGTAGAAATATTCAAGACATTTAACTTAGAAGATAAAAACGTAACTTACCTTGTGCAACACGGCATAACGCATTCCAACTGAATCTTTGAAATGTTGGACAATGCCTCCAGCTCAAGTTCCACAATGTAGGAACTACAAAATGTCATACTGAAACCAAAAAATCCTTTAAAAGCAGGTTGGGCTCCATTTCCAGGATGTGTGAATAGCACAGTGGCAGTGCATCCATTTGTGGATTTGCTTTTCATTGCTCCAAACGTCCTGAACTTGTTTTCTTTATCAACTGTATACAACACAAGGCAAAGGTTTCAAGATATACTTTTTATGGAATGTCGAAGAAGAATTTTCCAAAGAAGCGATAATTGCTGAAAGAATCAAATACTTAGAGGGTCTAATGAAGCGAAGGCAATAACAATTTAGCAGTAAAAATGGAAACAATTTTCATAATCAATAAGCTAAAAATTTTACCTTGTAAAAATACTTCTTCCTTACTTTGATTGCCATACGTATGCATCTTTTCACATTGATTTTCAGCTTGTTGTCATTAAACATCTGTAATAGACAAGAGAAGCGGATAAGGATATACCATTTGCAAGAGAAACAGGCATTCAAGTCTCTCAGATTTCACATGTGCGCATCAGATTAACATCAAATATAGCACATTTCAAGCTAGTTAAGCCAAGTAGTTTAATGGCACACAATACTATACTGAAAATGAATGAACTTAATAGACTTGAAAACAATACCTGTAAAAATACTAGTCTTGGATAATTTTTTTTTAATATAAAGCTCATCAAGGTAAAAAATCCAAGCCAATGTGTACAATTAGATAACAAAATAGCAATTAAACAAATAAAAACATGCACATATTTTCTTCATAAGAAATTAAATAGCATGTTCAAGGTCCACCGATCTCCAAAATATAGACAATTAAATGAAAAGGACATGCCTTTATCACATCATCAATCGAGTGTGTTTCTCTCATAATCTTTTGGCGGTTGATGATAAGAATAGCAGCTACGCAGAAGACTGGCAATCCATCACTGTTGTTTCTTGTTGATACAGACATGCTGCAAGGCTGCAGCTGATCATTCTCTGCCCAGCAATTCGCACTAGACAGACCACAAAATGGACGGACTGAAATCGGTCTTGCCCCATTGCTATACTGTGCAAAAGATTCACCACTACTGCATCGGGATCGTGCCTTCAGTTTTTTTTTACTGCATTCTGTCTCATCTGATCTCATCTGTCCCCTCGAACTTTCTCTGAGTTGAACAAATAATGGTTTAAGACAAATTTTCTCTAATTGCTGACATAGAGATTCATCAAAATCAGCAGCCCACATCATCTGGGAAAAAAAATCAACAATTATAGTATGGAACAGATAAAAAGTTATGAGACATGATTAATCAACTACATGGAAGGATCTACATCTTTAAGGTACAAACCTCCCACATACGAAGTGCCTCATCAAAAGAAAGTTCCCGACGAAAAAGAACCAGCAACATTCGAAAAGCAAAATGAAGACTTTCAGCACCTATGAGTCTAAGATGTCCAAAAATTTCTGCATCTATTAGTTCCAAGATCTTCCATAATGTCTGTAATTGTTTCATGACTCCAGTTGGCCCTTCCATCTGAAAATTTTCACGCTGAAACAATATGTGACAGATGTTATAATTGCTGATATATTGAAAAGACAAATAAATTAAGAGACGGTGGATCAGATAAGTGCAAGATTACCATTCTTCGGAGAAGCATCTCAAAGCACCAAAAAGCATCAGCATTGTCCTCGTAAAGTACAACAAAGGGAGAAAGCAAATCACTCATTCCTGATGTCAATCATCCAAAATTTATGTAAGTTAAAGTGAATCACAAAATTAAATGGTTGAATTTGCAATAACTCGAATATATGATACAAGCAAAAAACTCAAGATGTGAAGACTCAGAAACAACCTTGGCAGTACCCAGTGGCTGGATCAACCCATGCATAGACAGCAAGAATATCTGACATTCTGGCCATATTTTTTGAGTCCCCATAAAACTCAAGATGACTATCTGTCCTCACAACATCGACAACTACAAAACCAATGATTCTCAGCTGACAGAAATAGAAGAAAATAAATCATGTAGGACAAAATAATAATGCAAGATTTCTTGAAAATTCATCGTAGAAATGTTCTTGTAAATTTGTTGCAGAAATATTAAGTTACCAATTCGATGGAGTGTCCATAGCCACTCAGAAACTCTATCTTCCTTAGTGACCAATCCATTTGACGTTGTCTTGTCTACCATAGCTGCCTCTGGAATGTCTGATATCCGCAACCCATTGACAACATCCTTTTCTAACATCTTTTCTTTTGTCCCTTCAACACACTTTTGAGAATCTGAATTAAAGTAAGAAACATTGTTGCTCGCAGACGGAAAATCTGATTCTGTAGTCGGATCCACATTGTTGTTAATTTGGAAGCTATACATGCGTTGAACCTTCGATGCTGTACCTTCAGAAACAGAAGTACCATTACCATGCTTCTTACTTTCTCTCTTATCATCACCATTTTTCTGAAATAAATTAGTTACAGGAAGCGGAGGAAAATCAAAAAGACTCTCGCTGTCATACTGTGGTTCATTAATTTCACTCTCTGAGTTTCTTGAACCATAATTAAAAGCAGCGCTATCAGTGCTCATCCTGGGGCTGGCTAAATCAGTTGAATTATCAGAGCTCTTCTTTTGATACAAATATGCTGTATCAATATCCATATCAGTATATGTATCCAGCTTATCAGCAGCATCATGAGAAGCATACTCACTTGTAGTCACTGCTTTCCCATTAACATTATCTTTGGATAGAGTCCTTACATCCATGACTCTGGACCCAACAACATAGGCAAGGTTACCAGTACCAATGCTTGAGTGCATCATTTGGCATTGCTTGATTAAATCTGCATAGCGTTCCCTGCATTACATATAATACATAAAGCCAAGCCTGATTATCAACCCTGGAAAGAGCTTAGCATGCTAGATGATTAAATAAAGCATTCTAATGATATTTATCCAAAAAATTAAGGGGCATGATAAATTATTTATGGAATGCTAAGCTTAAAGCAAACCATAGTTTCTTGTTTACTAATTCATATAGAACACATGTAGTCTACACTGGTTAGGGTGATGGCTGTTAAGAGTATCTTTAGCATCAGAAAGACAAAAGAGATTAATTTACCAACATGTATTGTGATCCAACATCATGTCTGCTTAATAATGATAACTAAGATTCGTCAAGAATAAAAAGAGGAGCCTGATGTTAAGAAAGTTCTCGAAACAGCATTCATGGACTTTTGCGTCGACTGCCAGAAGCAATGCAGTATGCGCATCCACACATGCACAAGTCAGGTACTTTATCAAAATCTGCAAATATATTATCCTATTATCAAAACAAAGGAAAAAAAAGTTGGTCCTTTTATGATTATAAGGTTTCTTATGAACTTGATTTCCACAATTTCACATTTTCAAAAGTCAAAATAATGCAATGTGAATATAGTATTATTCCTTTATAATTAATCTTCTTCTACATGTCCACATATCTCAGTTTTGTCTCCCTACTAAATTGTGTACTTGGATGCATTGGATGGTTTGTGGATTGAGTAGCTATAATAACTGAACATAATAGTTTCAATACTACCCAAAGAGTAATAAGTACTTGGGCATAAATTTGCAAACTTCCTATTTTGCAACCAAAATGTTGTCCTACTTTTGCATCAGTTACATCAGGTAACCCTTTGAATGTCACTGGTGTAAAATGAAATGCTATTTGTGTTATTCAATCATCTTTTTCTCAACTCACAAACTACAAAGGTAAAATAGTAGCACTTGATACAGATGAGGAAACTGTATCCAGAACAAGATTACAGTAGCAATGTTTACTTACAGAACATGCAAGACCAATTATGCACTCGGTTTAAAATTTCACAGTTATACTTTTATAATTTAATTCACAACAAAATGATCAAACAGACACATGTTAGTAAAGGCGAAGATGGAAATGATACCTTCGGGCCATCCTTAATTGCCTCCGACATTCAGCAGTACTGCTCAAAGCATAACAACCAAGTAGAAATTCCCAGACTTCTGCCCTTATTGATGCATCTACACCCTGTTTTTCACAAAGGAAAAATAAAAGAAATTGGTCTTTGTGATTTATCAGCACAGGATGATAAAAATATAAAAGCACATATCACTATGCTTTATCAGCAATAAGTCACTTCATATCATGCATGAAATGTGCATAGGCTAGCAAACAAACAATCATAAAAAAATATCTCATATATCTCATATCCTCTCAAGGGGATTTTTGCTTGCAAATTTGATTCTAACGGATTGTAATGTGCTATAATATCTTACAGTTAAACAACAGTAAACATGATGCCAACAAATGTGAAGAATTAGGACCCAAACATTCAAAACTAAGGACACAGACACTTTGAAAGATATGATAAGTGCCAAAGAACTTACCCCTACGACAATCAATTTAAGTGCTTTTTGAAAACCTATAATCTTCCCATCACTGGCAAAATTTGATTGCCACTTTTCTGGCTTGAGCATTTTATTTCTCTGCTTCATAAGAAACTAGATGAGAAATAAGAAAAGAAAGTGAATACAGATTATATAAGTGACATATACATGCTTGTATTTTATGAATTACAAACAGATGCATGCAATGAATAATAAGCAGATCATTAGTTAAACATGACCTTCCAAAAATGTCAAAGTGAATGACAGGGCTGCAACTATAAATCTTATATAATTGTAAGAAAAAAATAATCATTTAATGTTTTTAAGCAATATGATAATACAAGATATCATAACAAGAGCAAGTAGAAATCTCCACATAATAGAATTGACATAGCATTTTGCATTAGATAAAAGCATTCCCTAATAAGTACTGCAGCGAAAATATTGTTGTGGCTGAAAGCCTGAAACCATGTAACATAAAGTGTAAGATGAATAGTCTCAAAAAGAATAATGTTCGCGAAACATAAAAGAAAAATATGTTTGCACTAAAATACTTAAGAAAATAGAAAAATTTCAGACCAGAAAGAGCCTTAAAATAATTAACTCAGCCCATCTACAAAGAAGATTCAGCAGAAGTTGAACATAAAAAACTGACTAATGATGACCCAAACTTAAAATCTTGTTTAAAAGATAGAGGTATACTCCCATTACAAGCATTTTATCAGGAAATTCTTTTAAGATACTAACATAAATAAAAGTGTAAGCAAGAAAAAAAAAACATAACTAATAATCGTAACTATAATGATACAGTATCAAGCATCATTACTCAAAATGATAATAGTGCTAATCTACTTTTTGAGCCAAATTATGTTCCCCTCTAATAATGTCTACTTAAACCTATCAAAAGCCAGCTTAGGGGAAAAAATGAGGTCTTGAGGGCCTTGCAGCCACCTAAACCCCATCCAAGCCCTTGGGTGATCGCCTGGCTTGAAAACCAGAAAAACACCAAGTGTATAAGCCATGGAGATAGCGAGAATATGCAGCTGCCAATGACAACCTTGCAATGCATAAGATTACCACTGAACCACCAAAGGCTTATCGGAAACACCATCCGTATTTCAACAGCAAGCGAAACATAGAGAGCCAGAATTAAGGTACCAAGAAAGCTCCAGTTAGACCAACCTTGGCAGACGAGTGATACCGGCATGGTTCTCCAATCTCTCTTACTATAGAGCTAACTCGGTGAAGGTTCACCATACCAGCCCTGCCACACATCCATCCTGTATCCTCTCCGTCATCAGACATCATCTATTCTTAACCTTCTTCACCCCGTCCTCTCCTCCTCATTCCCTGCATCCATAAGCAAAACTCATTACATTCCATATCCAAACAACCAGAAATAAATCTTCAGTCAGAATCATCATTCAAAAGGCCGATCCAAGCCCCCAGATCGAAACCAAAAAAAACCTATACGAGCAACAAAGATCCATGATTCCAACCCTGTAGTAATTGAGTTATGAGCAAAATCAAATCGAATAAGAAAGCGACAAGAAATCCAACCGACAGCACCACGCGCCAGATCGAAACGCAGATCGATCGGAAGAGCGCGACGAGAGCAAAAGATTGATGGGGTGTAGAAGACTATCGGGTGGTGGACGCACCTGGCAAGGGCGGAGATCGGGAGACTCGGGTACGCCGACGAGCGATCGGAGGGCTCCGACACCATGGAGAGATGCGGTTTCCCTTCCCCCTTGGCTTCTGCGTTGTCGTCTTCTAATTGTGAGAGAGAGAGAGAGAGAGAGAGAGAGAGATGGGGGGTTGGATTTGGGAGACTCCACGGGAGTAAGAAACTGTTTGAGGTGGTTGGTTTTGGAAAGACGCTCTTCGTTGGGCCCATTTGGCCCAATTTAGTGTTCGTGGGTGGCAATCGGTTGGGTTGGAACCGAGTACAGTTCAGATTGAGCTCGGCCAACCTACCATTCTCAGACCCAATGTGGCCCGCAAGTAGGCCTAGATTTCCCGGCTCGACGTGCCGGTCCAAATTAAATTAAATTAGTCGGTCAAAATTGATGGTTCGGTCGTTTGGAACAGATTATATATATATATATATATATATATATATATATATATATATATATATATATATATATGCTCCTGAAAATTAATCTTTATAATGAATTAGAAGATATTACAAAGTGATTTCTTAGTATTATAGTAAAATTGTTCATTTGCAATTTAGGTCAGTAGGATTCGAGATAATGAGGAAGCAAACATATATGCATGCAGATGAGAAGAAGAGGAAAAGCAAAGCCAGCAAACACTTGTTCTTGGCATTAACTTGTTCTTCATGGACTGCAGTCTTTACTGGTTAAAGAACAGGGTTTGGCTTTCAGAAGATATATCATCTAGTAAGAACTTATTGCATGAAAATTGATGTTTTCGCGCACGCGACTCTTGTTAATGCAGGAACCAAGGAAACTTTATCGTAGTTTCGAAGTCACTCGGAAAAATTTACGACAATATATTATAAAATAATTTCATTGGAGAGATGTCAAATGATTTTTTTTTTTTTTGGAAATGCAAAGTCTACAACCATTCCATCATGATTCAAAAAAGCTACAATGGTGACAACATGTATCAACACATAGAAAGAATCAGAACAAGATTTGAGGGATACCAAAATTTGTCACCTTCCTCCTTGTCATGATTCCTAACTGCCAAACATTACAGTGTGTGCCAAAGGCCACACTCTTCAGAACATAGTAAGCAAAATGTGCAACATGATATAGCAGTGGTGATGGTGATGGTGATTGATGTCTTATCATCTTAGCTGATGCTGCATCATCACATTGTTTGATCTCTGTTTGTTTCCCCCCAACTCATACCATCAATTCTATGGTGAAGTTGGAACTTCTGATGACTTGGCCCCCTGAGTGAGACATGCAGACCTACACAAGAGAATCATCCATGCTGAGCTTTTTCCTAAGCACAGCTCATGCATATCTACAACTCACCAGCAAACCCTTTGTTACTGGGTAAGAGTTCAAGTAACTTGAAGATTCATGAGCAAAGTTATCTGGAAGGACAAACATTATCCATGTAGGGAATCACAGTTGTTCTTCTTTAAAGATGAAAGTGTAAAGGCAAAAGCCATATCCTCCAACATTTTATAAAGCTTATTCCTCCAAAAGTAAGGAGATAATAATCCAGATGTAAGACATTTTGAGCAGGCATCCTTAAGGATATATATTATAACCAGGCTTAAGATACATCTTGCAGGAACTTTTTTAAGTACCTCGAGCTTGAATTGATTCCAAACGACACACCTGTAAGCTGGCAAAGAGGAATCAAGAACAATATACTTTGAGCTGGTAGAACTTGCCACTGTAGTTCTCGTCAGCCATTGGAGGATTCTGCTCTGAGATCTTAAATGTCATAAAGCAGTCGTGTTCAGCAATCATGTTCTCTTTCTCCCTGCCTCTGCTTTGCTTTCGTTTGATATTAGACTACCACCGACCACTACCAATGTTTCTGATGTGCATAGCACGATTTCAATAGTATGTTTGAGCTCAGACCTTTGTGTGGGTCTCTCTCTTACTGGCTTTCACCATGGAGGTCCAGTTTAAGATGTTGGAACTATGATTGGTGGCTTCAAGTCCAGAGAAAAAGTAGTCAGGAACAGCTTTGTGATGGGCCAGATTCATGTTATGGTAGGTACTCTGAGATGATCTTTTGGTGCTTGTGGTTACACAGACAGCATTGACCTATGGGGTCATCGGATCTGACCCGAATTAGATGAGATGGAAACAGTCTCAAATGACTGTCTGCTGTTTCAACCATCGTTGATTTGTAAGGCCAATTTCTCCCTCGTTCTAAGGAATCCTGCAAAGCAAAAGCAAAAAGAAGAAGAAGGGAGAGGACCACATTGCCGCTCTTCAATCTCTCCCACCGAGTGCAGCACAATTGGCTCCAACCACTCTGTTCGCGGACAAACTTGGAGCTGCCTCCCATGTTTCTCCACTCCCTGTTGATGCAAGAGCAGAAGCAGCCACAACAGAGGCAAGCATCCGTCTCCACTCGTCTCTCTCTCTCTCTCCCCCCGTTACACGCTTTTGTTCTGCCATGCATACGGCTTGAGTTGCGCTGATACTTTGTTTGAAGAGTGTCGACTTCTGCATGTGTTTCAGAAAGCCATGGTATGGAAGAGTGATGGAGGTCATAATTCTCTGGAAGTCTGCAACAAGATCTCCAACAGCAAGGCCTAGTACCGGAACTGCTGCCGACTCCAGCAAGCAGAAGCTGGGAAGATGCAGCTCTCTGAAGGTAGCCTCTTCGTTCACCCGAGTCTGCCTCTGTTCTCCCATGTCTTCCTACAACGAGCTGTTTCGAGCCGATGCGCCGTCGCGGAGAAGCTACAGTTGCCCGAGGTCGAAGTCACCGCCGGAGCGATGGATGGCGAGCACGCGAGGGTCCGCCGAGGGCCGAAGAGTGTTCAGGGGGAAGTCTTTGACGGATGACATGTTGATGCGGAGGTTCGTGGTGGAGGAGGAGGCGATGATGCAGCTGAGGAGGAGGAACCAGATGGAGTTCATGAGGAAGAGGAATGCCACGAGGAGGAAGAGGATCGGGCCGAGTCCTCTCAGCAGGATGGTGATGGCCGAGGAAGAGTAGTAGTTCTAAGAGGTTTAGCCGGTGCAACAAGTTGTGATCCGTCTGCCACTTACGGATCTTCATTTACTTCATCGTAGTTTTGTGCATACATGGAGAATTCTATGCTGCATGGACAAATCCTTGGAACAGATGGGTGATTGTTTTATTAGGGATGAATTAGTAGACAGGAAGTGAATCTTTTGGAAGATATGAACCTTGTGGCTTCTTCTTCTTGCTCGTTCATTCTTGAAAGTTCGAGTTTGATTTGCAATGACAAGTTTTTGAATCATAAAATGATGGGAATGGAAGACTGGCAGATCTCCTTCTTTCTTGGTTTGTCTCAGCAGTCCGCACTGCTATCGAACATTCAAAAGTTGCTTGTGGGTTTTGTTGCATTGCCATCGAACACTCAGCAGTCCGCACTGCTATCGAACATTCAAAAGTTGCTTGTGGGTTTTGTTGCATTGCCATCGAACATTCAGCAGTCCGCACTGCCATCGAACATTCAAAACACTCCGATCCAGTAAGATAATTGAGTTAAAAAGAAAACATAGGAGATGAAAACTAATCTTGAATGACCCATGGAAGAGGGCACCACATTTCAGAAACATAATCATTATCCTACAATTTAAATCATAGATCATAATATAAGATGACAACATTTACCATGTCATATTCCTCGAAAAATTATTGATCGGTTACTCCAATGAGGAGGAGATGAAACATTAAAATAGAAGTCAATTATTGACTGCAACTGATCACAATTTCTTTGCAGCTCATCCTGAATTCTGAAGGTAAACAGATAATAATTATATGCAATCCAAACAGTATAAATTCACGACTCAGCATCACCTATTTGCAGGCGCAGTGTGTTTTTGGGACTGCAGTCCCACGGCACCACTGCATGCTACAAAGACTAATCAAACCAAGTGATCATCCACTCCTAAGCAATACAAGTGACGATAAAAATTCAAGCACATAATTAAATAAATTAATTCAGGCCCTCAATACGGGTGCCAGAAATAGTTATGAACTTTTACAGGATACAGGTCACCTCAACGAAAGTAACAACATTCAAGGCCCTGCAATCAAAACCGGTATAGATCATACCGGTACACATCAGTTCATTTTTTATTATTTTATTTAATGATAGTGGTTATGGTACAGAACAACATACCATCATTTATATTAATGCGATGATTCGATAGGTTACCAAACCAGTATTGGGTTGGTATCTAAAACCTCAACTCTACCACAATGTTTCAGATGGCTTTTGAACACAAACAGAATCGCCAAATGTAAGGGGAGCATTTTATATGGTACCAGAGATTGGGTCCCACTGGGAACAACACTGACTTAAGACTGTAAGAAGCTAGCATATTTGGCACCAAGGAAAAGCCTCTGGATGCAGAGAAGAGCATTCTTGGTCACATCAGCATTTTCATGATTCATGAGCTTCATTACCCGGTCCTTGGCCTTCAGGTCTGACACGATGATTCTTCCAGCAGGGTGGTACTGGATAAATTGAGACAAATCGTAGCATGCAACAGCAAGTGCTGTTGGATCACCGGAGGTGTCGAGGATTGTGATGAGGACACGCAGGATCTGCAAAAAATATTTGCTGGAAATTAGATAAGCATCAACCATGGGTCTGTATAAGTACCGTTAGTGCAAGGTCCAAAGAAAAAGAACACATCAGCACTAAGTGATCTAAAATAACAACAAAAGTTAAATAACAGTTGCATGTGCAGCCACTACAAGTTTCACAGAGTCATAATTTGAAGCTGTTATCTATTGTGTTATTTTCCTGGCACCATATTTGCTTCCAGTATGTTTAAATTGGTTACGATGACTGGAATTTGATAGTCTTTTAGCATTTACATAGTCAACAAGAGCTTTACCAACAGTAATATTAGTTCCAAGTGAGAAGTTGCATACAAGGACTCGCAACAACATAAAAAAGAAAGGCAATATACACGTGGAATATGATCCATGGTTACCCTGCTTTCTTCTTTTATTATTGATTTTTCTCCATGTGTATGAAACACCCTTACTCAAAGGTCAAAATTCAGTCAACAAGCATATAATTGTGATGGCTAGACAACCCATGATTCCCACAGAAAAAGTACCAGAGTCCTTCAGCATGCAACTTCCTCCACAATTTGAGTAATATGACATACCTGGAAATCATTTTCTTCAAAATTTGTAATATTTTCACGCCAGAATCCTGGATCCTTGTGCATAGGATACCAGTCAAGATGACCGAGAAGGACTTCCTGCTTATATTTATCAAAGGAACTTAAAGTTTTAATGTGTTCCTTCAGTCCATCTTCTAGCTGATTCAATGCTTCCAATAAATCCTGCGTGGAATGAGAAGATGGTAAGGACATTACCATTTAATCACAGGACTATAGCTTGTTCAAATGTTTTCAAAAGTGACGGAATATCAGTCTGCAGCATCTGATATTTGAGTACTTGTGGCTTTGCAACTACGGTTTTAAAAGTAAACGCACCAAAAATAGCATGAGAGGGTATCATAAATGTAACCTCATCACTCCAGGCCTGAGCTTTTAGAGACTGAACAATTTGCGGCAATCCGAGGTCAATCATTTGGGCCCCACATGCTGCCTTCGGTAACAAATTGCGCAAAGTCAATACAATGACCCTCACAACCTGCACCGGAGATATACACTTTAGCAAAATCACCACTACATTTAGACTAAGTTTAGATCACTGAGTCAGAAAGAAATAGTTAGAGAATCCAACCTTTTCCTTTGTTGAACCTTTTACAACGTCGACCAGCCTTGGCATTACCCTAGTAGTGGCCAAGTAATCAATTGCTGCATCATAATAGGACAAGAGCCAAATACAAAGGCAAGTTTCATAAAGCAGCTGCAAAAGAATATTGTTGGCTTCAAAAACATTTCAGAAAAATGGATAAAAGTATCAACAAAAACAGTAGGCAAATTAATGCAAGCTTAAGCATAGTCGATAACATTAAATTTTTATATAACTGTGGAAGAAGAAAGATGGCTTATGAAATGTATGCCTTCTTTGCAGTGATACATTTAATGCAAATGGGATATGTACAGTTAAGCACATTAATGCAAATGAGATATGTACAGTTAAGCACATTATGTGGACACAAATACAAAAAACAAAGTCAAAGAAATATATCTAAAATATTCTTAATAGAACTAAGAAAATCAAGATGCACATTAGCAATCTTGAAGATGTCATGCAACATATACTGAAGTTGGTCATTGTTCAGATCCATTTATGCAATCAGCTATTCACCTGTTTCATCATGTTTATCATTTAGAGTGATGTTGGAAACCCAGACGACAAACTACATTCAGATGAAACAAGGCACGACAAGAAACAAACAATTATCAAGCATAAAACCAGACAACAGATCAAAAAGTTACTGCAAGTTCAAGTCAATAACCACACAGTATGATCTGTGGAACTTGAAACAGAACCACAGAAAGAAATTAAATCATTTTTACCTGAATGGACTGCTGAGTTGATGCTGGGGAAATCAAAGGAATTAGCAATTTAACACCATCTGCTTGTACAAATGAAACCCTGACAAAGCGTTCTCTTAGCAAAGTGGCTAGGCAACTTACAGCCAATGGCACAGAACGATTGGGGTGAGTTGGGGCCTTCAGCTGGAAAGTACAACTACTTTCAGTAATCCATAGTTAGAAAGAACGCTGATCATCTAACTGTTTATATATATATATATATATATATATATATATTTATCATTCTCTTGCTAAAACAGCATGAGTGTGTTACAAATGTATGCTCTTACATACCACACCAAACATAAAGCACAATAAAAATAAAACTTGTTCTTAATCAACATTATACTGGGTCGATGACCCGTTTGCCCATCCATACACGGAGTGTGAACTGATGAAGAGTAAAACAGTTGTGGAAGGGCAAGATGAGTAAATAATATATTCAGAATAGTTAAATCCATATCACGAGAATAATGTATCAACATGTAACTGATTGTCAATCCATCAAGGTGGGAAATGTCTACTTGTTTAAGAGATCAACAAGTATGTTCATATATTTAGGTTGAAGGCAATCAACCAGTCTTCAGCCAAAAGATTCATCTTAATTGGACTTCTTTGCCCGTTTCTATAATATTTAGCTTCTCCATGACATCATCTCTTTTTTTCATTCTTCTCAGTAAAGGTGGGAAATATGTTCATGAGCCCATCAACTTGCTCCCCATAAGTCAGATAGCAATTTTTATAATCAAGTCACGTTTAGGTTACCTTAACCCAAATATAAATGTGTCACAGAATGATCACTGTGGTTACCAGGTTAAATATAAAAGGGTTTCAGAACTATTAGAATAGTTATCAAGAAAACGTTGGTGCAGTTTGCTGTAGAATTAAAATATATGACCAAAATAAAATATATATGATCTGAAACACAGGAAAGTCAAGTATTGGGAACTCATCCACAATGAACCATCAAAAATGTAATTCGTTCATGACATCTCGTTGCAGAATGGCTTTGTTCATTTTTCATATAAGTGACTACGAAAAAGTATTTTGGCCAAATCATATCAGATTCAATAGCTTTAGATGATCATGATGCCAGACAATAGAATCTCGGATCATATTAACTGAAATCTAAGCAAACTTCCTTGATAATCAAGAACATGCTAATTAACTTAACATCACCAGTCTATAGCTTACTGAAAAGTTCATAGAAGTCGAAACACCTGTTCAAATGAAAACAGAAATGGAGCTCAGAAAAAAACACTGTGACAAACATCACTAGTCTATAGCTCACTGACGAGTCCATAAAAGTCAAAAATATTTATATGATTGAAAAACAGAAACTCAAGTGGAACTTGGGAAAAGCATTGTGACACATTTCCCAGGTATTACTACATCACAAGCTTTATAAATTACCAAATGCATAGACTACAAAATCAACTCAATTATTACTAAGCCATGACACTTCAATTTACTGAATGAGATGGTTCCTTCTTTTTGGTCTTTTTCTTTTTTTTTTTTCGTTTTTCAGTTATATAGCTATAAAATGTAACAAAAATTGCTATGTTGTTTCCATGATGGCGCATACAAGTTTTACCTGTAAACAGAGCCAATCAAGTAGGCCTTCTAGAACAGCATCAATAGCTGAGATTTTGCTCTTAGAATGTGAAGATTCTCCATTTGAAACAAGGCCATGCTGACCTTTAGGACGAGCACTGAACGCAAGCACACTTGTTGATTGTTCGGTTGATCATAAAATCTACAACAGTATTTGCACCATTTGAGAATTTGATGTACCTTACTATAAGTGTCAGTATCTTACAACTCTTCTCTTGTATGAACCAATTGCCTTCCTGAAGCCATCTGAAAGATCAGAAGTGAAATGTGTAAATGATTCAAGCACAATCCAAATTGCAGAAAAAGGAAAAAATCACTACACCAATAAGATGTTTCATAATGAAATCATTATACCATTCACCTCGACAAATATACCACGGAAAAAGAAATCTATTTTCAGGGAAGGGCCAATCAGAGGGATTGTTGAACCTTTAACAACTCAATTAGTTTGATTACTTCACCAAAAAAATAAAAACTTAACAAAACCAGAACGACACTCTAAGCATGACTAGGAGGAGAATAAGTTGCTACATGAAAGGCTACCAATTAAAAAGATGGTCCTTAAAGGTTTATTATAATACAATAGAAGTTGGTCAGCTAGTTCCAACTGTCAACCTCAAAGACACATTTGGCCACTGATATCATTGATAAAAATTGGATAAAAAAACAAAATCCTGAAGACCATAACTTAAGAAAGGCTGATAAGTATCTTCGTTTGATAGTGATTTGTCATGAAAAAGTCTAGCTCGTTTCGGATTTGCTGCAAAGAACAGAAAGAAATTTGTCAAGATTATTCACATAAGAGATCATAATTTTGTCACATTCTGCACCACTTCATACCTGTGAGCATTTCGTCAATGAGAGCAAGCACATACTCGACTGTTTCTTCCTTAGAAATGTCACGCAAAATGTTTATGAAGACCGCTACATAAGCTGGTCCATCCTGTCAAATGAATTAATTTAATGTGACCAGTGTGTACTGAAATTATTCACACAGCTAATATTGCTTTATCATGACCACTCAGAATCTAAATGGTTTAAAAGTTCAGACAATCAATATGAATATCAAGTCCTTTGACAAATTTTAGAGAGAAATTCAGTGAAAACATGGTCTAAGCTTTATACTTGTCCAACTCGCTGTACATCATATGCATACATGGAACTTATTAAATATGAAAGGAAAGGAAACATTTTAAGTAGCAAACAGTGACTACCTTAGATTATCGTTACACTAAATAAAAGATGGCAGTCCAGACCGAAGTATTAAATGAAAAGAGTCAAGAAAGGAAGGGCATGAATGCATCAATAATGGTCTCCCAACAGTCAAAAATTAAATATAATGCCAGACTATATATACTATTATATACTACAAAGATAAAGGAAGGGCATGAACCTCTACTGCCTAGTGTACCAGCATGCCGGCATACAATAATGGCCCTGTCTGTCCAGAAATCACACATGCCAATGTGGTTGGAACCATGATTTAAAATTTTAGGACCAATACGAGATACTGACACATGGAATGCTGGTACACTAGGCAGTAGAGGTTCAACTGATCATGGTATGCCGGCATGCTAAGTGGTATGGTCCAGACCAAAAAAATTCTCAGCTAGAGGAGAAGTGATATCTCCTTCTAAAAAGAGGATATGTTATCTATCATACCCTGTCTAGCAGCCTAATTTGCTGGTTGATTAGATTCTCTAAAATAGTGTATATAAGAAAAGGTTCTAAATCTTCCAATAATAGTCTTTAAATTTGCAATCATCAATATGTAAGTCAGATTATAGTTGCCAATATAGGTAACACTACACTGCTACACAGAAGGAAATAGCTTGATGCCATAGTCCAAGCAGCTAGGCAATAAACTTATATCAAAACAAATTACATTTTGTTTCTTGCAATAACCATAAACTTAGGATTCTAATATGATTTAACTCTTATAGGATGAAAAAAATATAAAGAACGCCTTCTCAAGCCCCATATTGGCGGGCGCCTCGTACATTGGGTTCATTCCCTTTACTTTTACAAGTAAGATACAACATAGACACAATATCTAGGCTAAAATAACTATAACTATGTATAAGAAAAATATATTAGCAAAATCAACTCAAAAGTTATATTATGTGTCACCACAGAAGCTACATTTATATAGATAGTCAGCATCTGAAGTTAGGAAAAAAAAAAAGACAAAAGGGTGGACAAATTTCAAAACCACTTCAAAAAGCATTCACCTAGAGCATAACGAAAGTTATAAATGGAATCAAAACATCATACTTCGGTACCAATTAGATGAAGATGGCACTAATAAATTTGAATAAGAAAAGAAAAAGAAAATAAACCAGTGCTTACATCATCAAGCAAAGCAGCTCTTTGGCTTTCAGATTTTTTATCATAGCGCCTTAGTAGCTGAAGATGTGTTCCTGTAATGAGCTTTGTAGTCATATAAGTTTCCCATGGTATGTCCATCTTGAGAACCTTCAAATGCAAATTGAGACAAAATAAGTGGTAACCAAGGTTCTTAAACAGAATAAAAAATTACTCCTACTTAACCAAAATTCCAGCAGAGACCTGATAAAATTAATTAACTCAAAGGTAAGGTCTTCTTCAAAGAAGACATCACCACTAGACAATGTAAATTCTTTATAGTGTTATATTTACGATGCCTTTTTGTTGTAAATCTGCTTCTGGTGCTGCATTACACGACATGCAGACCAAGGTTTGTTCTGTGTATATGCATAGTTTTAATTGGAAAAAGAAATTTGATCACATAATATTTTTGTTCTTTCCTTCATATTACATTGTCACACCAACCAAATTGTTCCATCTGCCAGTTGATATACCCTTCTATTGGAGAATAAATCCTTCATTGTAAGATGAGCTATTTCATGGAATGTAATGTTAGACAATTAAGAAACATTTCACCAAAAATAAGTGTCAATGAAAATGAGGATGCTAAGTTGGAGATGCAGGGTAACTAAAAAAATTAAAACAAGAAATGTTTACAATAATAACGATTAATATTAATTCCGATAAAGTATAAAATGAAAAGGATATATTGAAGGTGGTATAAACACATCCAAAGGAGACCTATAGATACACCAATCAGACAAATAAATTAATTTATATTAATAGCACAGGGTGAGGTAGAAGATGACATAATAAAATTTTAGTTAAAAAAGTAAGAAGTGATTCAGTGACTGTTAAAGTTTGACTAGTATTTATGCCCTTAAAAGAACTCAAATGTGGAAAAGATCCATAATCAAACCCAAATAGTCAGATCTATGTCTGGGAATTGCTGATGTCCATGTCATCTTGTACCATGAGCTATAAATTGATCTCAATGTTGGGACGATGTAGATTAACAAAGTAGGATATTGTAGGTCAAAGCCAGCCTCTATTCATCTTCTCTGCATCACCAGCCATCATAGTGCTATTGCTACCATAGTCCTCCTCCCTTGTCCTTATCATTGTCTTCCTCCTTTGTCCTCTTCCCCCTGCTAGTTTACCGCAGATCATGCTTTCCTATCGCTAGTACTTCTCAGTCTCATCCTCTTACTAGTTACTCCAGTCAGTTTATAGATGTTGAAAAACCACCTATCAGAACAGCAGCCTAGGTTTTTCCATATTGGCTTCCCACATATTGCAACCATTATCACCTACATTTCTCAGTTCTCACCATGTATCTGATTTTGTTGCTCACTTGGAAGCACTAGAAAAAAATAAGAATTAAAGAAAAGGCTTATCGCAGTCTATGCCTATGATCATTCATCGACAGCCATTAAACGAAATCCCAAGAAAAAAAAATTGTATAGGCCAGAAAGGTGCTTCTAATTGCAAACTTAATGAAGACAAGAACACGCACCAATGATATTTGAGAAGGATGACAGCAAGAAATAATAATTTGACAAGAACTTCAATTAACTCGATCAACTCTTTGTTTCTAACACTGACATATATTATTTCTTTGTCTTTTTCTTTTTACCCAGATGGTAGGCTAAACAACGTCATCTAATTATCAGTATGCACCGGATACCCACGATCAATCCCAAAATCAATCCAGGGCCTTGAGCATCGTAGTCAAACAATCATCAATACAAACCTAAAATGGCATATGCATCAAAAGAATTAAAATGATAGCGCAAGGACAGATCAAAGCCCGATCTCAGGTCACCAACCTCCTCGGTCGTCAGCTCCGCGCTACCCATCGAGAACAAAACCTTCTGCCACAGGAGCGGATGACTTCGGTCCACCAGATTCCGATGACCGCAGATCTAGAAAACCCAACAAGAAGAAACCCGACAAGTAATCGATCCCAACAAACCGAATTCAAGAAGTTGAGGAAGAATTGCAGGAAATAAAAGTAAGACAATATCACATAAAGATCGATTTACCGCAGAAACGAATTGGGGCCGCAGATCGCACGCCCTTCCCGAGTCCAAAAGGCCGTCGCCGGGGTTTCATTTTATAGATGATGGCCGCGGAGTTTTCACGGGTACGGGAAGGGGAAACACGTGGAGGGACATGCCGTCCCGGTCTATTCGAACCGGACCGGACGGCTTCGGGAGTCTCTCGTGGATTAAGGCAGTGGACTCACTCTTTTCTTTTGGACCCGGTTCAATCGGGGATTCGAAAGAGCCGGACTGAGATCCGGTTTAAATGTCTGCTTCACCGTGAGCTGTAATAGGCGCGATCCACGTGCAGCTCTGATGCCCGCTCACTTCGATCTTGACCGTTCAATTGGTGCGCGCCACGACGGAAGCGATGACATTTATTATTAGACTGTGACGGCGTGAAGACCTTTGGTCCGATTCAATCGACTTCTTCTATCATATTCTGTCAAGCTGTCAGGCGATCGTAGCCGTTTGATCAAATTGTGGATTGCGGCTTACAACCAACGCTTGATAAAATCCAACATCACAACAAATATTAACACACGTATTGCTGTTTCGAATCATTTGATCAACGGTGGATAAAATTATAATGATGTATTATAATAAAAATATAAAATATATAGATAACACTATTAAATGACTATCATAATATAATGAAATAGGATGATAAGGAAAAAATTGACATCATCTCATCATGGAATATAATAGATTTTTTTTTCTTCTTAAAATAGAAAATCCTAATTGTCCTTATGAAAAAAAATCAAATATTTTTCGATAATAAATAAGATCTAAGAATATTTTGATCTTTTCAAAAATCAATTTTTAAGATGTCTTATTTAGATAATAAAAACATGGAATTTATACCTTTTTTCCCTCCTTCAAACAACATTACAAACGTATGGTCAGAGTTTCTTGATGAATATGATCCAAATCTCTGATGATTCATCCAGGTGATGCAATCCATGCAATTGGCAGCATTAACATGATTGGTTGCTGCATTATCAACTGGTCAAAGCCTCCACAACATCTTCAATGCAGAAGACACTGCTTTCGGGATGCAACAGATCATGTGCAGAAATGGATTCATAACAAATACTTGGGCAGGATTATGCTGAGTTATCCTCACAGGGCAACTTCTCGAGAACTCCCAATCACCAACAGCATGAATGTTACATAATATTTTCTAAGCAGCATAATTAGAACTCGGTAATCCAAGTTTGTAACCAGAATCACCACCATTTCAGATGGAGTGGAGCCGTTTCTAACCCACAGCACAAGGTCTACCTATCTCTTGACACTTCCAAAGAACTTTGATAATGGCACTGGGCCTCCATTCTTGTCGCTGTCACTGTCGCTGCTAGAGTGTTTGACCCTTGACTTGTGCTTCCTTTTCTTCTTTGATCTCTTGGATCTTGATCTCCTTGATTCCCTTTCATCATCTTCATAGTCATCATCACTGCTTGAAGATTCGGAGGATGAACTAGAGGAACTTGACTCGGATGATCTTTTCTGCTATCAAAATTGGACCGAAGCAGAAACGTCAACAAACAGCAGTTGTTATACTGCAGATCATACGAATTGGTGACAGAAAAATCAAGGATGACCTGGAATCTTGATAAAAAATGATGAGCATGATACTATGATAGTAAAAATAATGGACTGGAAGAAATGAGCAAGACTCCTTCTTAAAGTAATTTCTATCACTCACTAAGCAATACACTAATCGGAAAGTACACACCACAAGCTTATAGTAAAACAAAAAGTATGTTTGACCAGCAACATATTCCTAATCAAAATTGTGTAGCTATTGGTTCCACAAATGGATTCTATAAACTGAAACAAACCAACATGTTCGTTCCTAAATACCATATGCATAATCCCTTTCAGCAGAATCAGCATCAATCTAGATTGTAGACTGAGAAATACCCTTTCTTGTATGGTCAGTTATTCCTAGTAAATTCTTGCAAAGATTTTATTGCAAGATATATGTAACTCCTTTTAACATACCAGAATTATCAAAACAATCGCCAGGCAAACGAAATAAGAAATGCAACATGATATCAAGCATCAATATGTTATCATAGTGGATAACCTAAATCCCAAGTACAAAACACATAGAACATTGGCGATTGGATGTCGTAAAACAAACCTTTAAAGAACGTCAGACCATAGGGCAGTACAGAACATCAAGACCACATCATATTTAACCACAAGAATGAACCCTGCATAACTTCTGGACATTTCTATACTTCTCAAATATGCATGTATAAGTATCAATTGTTTTTCAGAAAATGAAGTAAAGTTTGTGGAAGTTTTCAACTTAGCTCATGTTGTCTGCAAGTTCTTAGAAGTTTCGATGCATACACTTCAATCAGTCAAATGTGCTCATATCAAGAAAAGAAACAAGCATCATTCCAAGGGCCAGGATGCATAATCTTAGTTGATATCAATTGGAAGAGAAAATGAAAAATTATGTAAATAATAGCAAAGTACACTTGCATATGCAGTACCTAGAAAAGTGAAATAGGATCAGAAGTACCTTTCTCTTTCTGCTACTTCGTTTCTTGGAATCCTTGTCCTTCCTGTCTGCATTATGACAACAACATAGCAATTGCATTTCTCAAAAATGTGCAAAGTGAAGAAAAATGAATTTCATTCACAAAGACCGTTTAATTATTACTCAAGACAAAGAGAGCATACGAAATCAAGACAACAGAGTCCAGACCATAGCATTAAACCACATGTATATACCCTTTTTTTTATGTGACTTGCTGGCAGAGTGATTTTTTCCAAGGGACAGCTTCCGGGCCCTTTCAGCATCTAGCTGAGCTCTGTATTCTCTCATCATTCTATCCTTATCAGCCTCAAGCTCATCTCTTCTGAGTTCATCTTCCTAAAACCATAAACAAAATATCACATTACCAAAAGAAACACCATCATGATTTTAAATTGCGGGAGAAATTCTTAAGATGGATACTATAACAAGTTTTGAGTCGTCGAACATTAATGACATACAAAGGAAAGAAATTGCCTATCAAGTTATGGTAAGGTAGGAGCTTTATAATGTAAATAAGCTCTTACTCTTTCTGACATATCTAGTGCAGACCATATTTATGTTGGAATCATTGTAGACTTAGTTATTAGTTTGAGTCATATTAAGTTACATCTGACTCTCAACCTATGCATTGTCAATTCTTATAGAATCATTTTGTCCTCATTTCATTACAGCATGAGGATCAAAATGGGGTTTGATTAATTTTACAGCCTAAATGAGCTAAACTAAGAGGTCTTATCGGGATTCAACAAAAGGTGACTTGACCCATAGATTACTCAATGGAATAAGATTTTAGTTACTTCTGTTTTTGGTGTATGTTATTAGAAACACGTATGGTTATCACAAATTTAAATCATGGGAGATTGTAGGAGTACAAGTAACCCAAAAAAAAAAGCTAACAGATAATCAATCAATAAATTAGTGAGCAATAAAACAAATTCATAGTGAAGGTTGAGAAGGAACATTTTACAGAGGGAAATGAGAAACAAAGAAGATATTGTAATAGAGAGATTACAAGGAGGCCGAATCACCCCCAGGTTGTTTTGTATAGCATGCAAAAATCCCTGGTTAACCACTATAGCTTTGAAGTAGACTGGGAATGCTAACATAGAGGTCCAAGTCCAGCTCAAGAAGAGATCTCCTGGGCATTCCTACTTTTCTCGCACTTATCTTCTTATTTAGCTTAAAATATGGGCACTTGAAGCATGCTGAACAGACAAGAAGGATGCTTTTTCTAATTTAACAGTAATTTCAATAATATAACAATCCTAGTTCAATTAAGATCTTAGTCCCAATTGTCCACAGTTGGAGAAAGTTCTTTCCCTATAAGGAGAGAAGCCTTTGTTAGGAGAGGTATATCTTAACATTATACCAGCTATCTCAATAATAATAAAGACAAAGATGGAGTCTAATGGATAAACAATCATGAAAAATAACAAAGGTTTGTTCACGGATACTTCAGATACACAGATCTTTAGTAATGTTGATTTTCCATACAAACCCATACAGGCAAACAAATATAAACTCCCTGTGTTAAATCAATAAAGCAGTAGGAAAGCCCTAAATAACCATGTATACCATGTCAAACATCCAATAAACCACTGTATTGATGAACTTCAGACAAGATCAGCATTATGCGTGTTCTAGTTCACAACGACAAAAAAGATGTCACAGATAGTCTTGGTCGAACATAAAGTTAAATCTTAAAGCTACATAATAATTTGTAGCAGAAATCTTCTCGGGACAAAACCAACGGAGTTCACAAACAATTTAAAACCAACCTAAGTCACAAGGCCCTTGGAGATTTCTAGTGGTCTTAAAAATCAGAAGGTTTACCAGCAGTTACTGCAACATTTTAGCAGTCATATTATTTCCTAAATTTGGAACCTTCAAAATAAGCCTTGATGTTCAATATGGTCATAAAAATATTGAATAATCTTTGTGTAAAATGGGCATCATGACTCCACACTGGTCAAAAATTTTGAAACAGAGTTCATTTTCAGTAGAATGAAAGAACATGGGCAAATTTTGTAGACATTGATGAAATGAGACAAAATTATCTCAAAACAGTCAAATTGTTGAATACGGTAAGAAATGTACTAAAAAAACATACATGAAACATAAGATACTTCCACAGTTTACACTTACCAAAGCAAACTAATATACATACTGTATACACACATCAAAAAACAGAAATTTTGTATACATGTGAGATCAAAAGATAATAATTAACACACAAATAGAAAAAGGTTCCCTCAAAAATGCACCCCAAACATATCATTAAAAGATAATAAACACAACATGAAGAAAGAATTGAGAAATGTATGTTTTGTTTACTGCTTAAGAAACCGCAGTAGTCTTGTTGACAATGTCTTACCTTCTGTTTCCTCTTGAACTCTTCCCATGTTATGGTGTGGGATGTTTTTAGGCTTGCTAAACGAGCAGCATGCCACTCTGGTGAATGAAATGAACCATCCGTCTGCGATGGTCCTCATTAGTAATAATCCAATTGTATTAAACAATAAACAAAGACATGCTACTTCAAAGGTATGTCTTGATCAAAGGAAAGCAAAAATGTAAAACCGTAAGAGAACTACATAACCTCAAGACTACTAAACAGAAGCAATTTAGGGATGTTACCAATGATTGCACATTACTGAAAGTAATTGTCGATGGAAGAATCATTCTTAAAAAAAATGTACAATTCATGACTTTACCCAGCAACAAGGAGAAAAAAGGTCCACAAGCATAAATACTGCAAAATTAATACAGATACGATTTAAGCCTCAAATTTTTGCACTTACTGAATATGATCAACCATAGAAAAGACGTTATAGATGCAATTAACTTCCACTAAGGGCTGTTCATTCACCAAAATGGACTTCAGTTGAAGTGGCCTTAAGTCCTATGTCTGTTCCATTGAAAAATCACACTATTAATGTGATTTTTAAAACCTGTATAAACTAATCAAGTGAAGTTGAGGAAAAAAATTGACACACTTAAGCCCTTATGTAAACCAAAGCACACTACTAACATGTAGACCGATTAGCTAAGGGATTCGCTCCAAAATACATGCTACCCTTATGCTGCTAAATGCATCAAAACTTTCAAAAAACTACTGCTTGAAGTCCTGCTTTTCGTCTCTAACAGATGCAAAAGTTGACACCATAACCAACTATTGCCATCGAATCATATTTTTACCCGCATAACAACCAAAAGAAACAATTAAAATACCAAACAAATTATCCAAATGAACTACTAAAAAAAAAAAAACCGGAAGATCACAACTTTACGATGTCAAAGATTCAGATAAAACCGTTGAAGCAAACTACAAGATGAAAAATGGCAACTCGAGTCTCATACAGAAGGGCCAAAAAGAGAGAAAAAAGAATCGGTTCCTCCAATGAAAGGGGAGGGGGAGGAGGGACGCTCAACCTCGATCTAAACAATCACAATCCTCTTGCACAATCAATTTTTTAAGCAGTAGGAACAAAAACACTGAAAAAAACGATGGTATGAAATGGTACAAACCATTCCGTCTTCGATCTCCTCCGGTCCGGCGGAGGACGACCCCAGCCTCGCCCTTTGCATCGCTTTGTAAGCCTGGTTTTTCCCCATTTGGTACTTGGGAACAGGCAGATTAAGAAAAGAAGAAATCGGCTCGAATCAACAGGTAAGGGGTGTTGCCAAAAGATTGAATTGCAACCGGGGATTTTTGCTTGTCTTCGGATAAATCTCCGAAAACAAAACCTTCGCAATCGAAGCGAAAAGAAAGGCTCAGCCGAGCGGAGAAAAGGATTTAGGTTTCCGGAGGAAGAAAAATAGACGAGGTTGGAGGTCGTCTGCCTGTCTCGACGAAATCAGGAAACATCCTCGGTCACATAACAACCCCACACATCTCACGTCATGTTCAAATCCGTGACGTCATACATATAGGGTAGGCAACTCATGCCAGCGGGACCGTGTGTCGTGGCGTACGGGGCGGACTCACCCCCTCGGCTTCGGATCCTCTCCAAGTCTCTTGCGGTACTAATCGGACGGCTGACAACGACAGATAGCAATCAGACAGAGTTATCAGATCCGGATCACAGAATTGACGGATATCAACCGATCAGGTCTCCGGTCTTTTTTTGATCAGACCGTATATTAAATATAAAATATTTCGAGAATTAATTATGCATGGATATTACATAAGAAATTATGATATAAAATTATGAAAAATATAATTGTGAAATACATCTGTTCAAGAATAATTCAAGATATTTGATGAAGAAATAATAAAAAATTCAAACTCAATGGCACATTAATGAGGTGGTAGGAGAAGGTAAAAAATAACGATGAGTCGATAAGCAAAGAATTATGAGAGAAAAAAAGAAAAATAATGTTAATACTAATATATTATTACACAATTGATTATTCTCATGTTCGAGTCATATGTAAGTATTGTGTATACCATTTGATGTAAAAAAAGAGAAGGTAAAAAGAAAATAATAAAATAACACATGCCTAAAGATTTTATATAAGAAAAAAAACTAAAATGTTCGAAAAGTAAATAAAAATAACTATATTCCAGGGTATTTTAATCAGTATGGATCAAACTACCATAACAGACCCATTTACCAAAGGTGAGGAGTTTAATTACCTTAGAGAAACGACATTTCCGCATGGAAGCCAGCATTATAAGAACATTTCATTTGTAGGAATCTGTTGCAATGTTATTTGAGGCAACCTTTGTTTATAAGGAATTACACCGTATATCGTGGAAGACTATTAGAACTTTTCCATTCCATAAACAAAAGCATGCTTGTCAAATATCAGAAGCGAAAAAATTTGCGGAAAAAATCTTCATTTAGCAGATAAAAGTTGCTATATTGAGGGACAAGTTTACAAAATTCACTACTTTTACCCTCTTCTCAATGTAACTACATTGAAGGAGATGTTAGGTATTCCAAGAACACAAATAATTTTTTGCAACTTCTTGTGAAGATTGTTCTGTAGATTTCAAAGCTTGTAGGCTAGTCTAACAGTGTTTCTTTAACCACCTGCAGGAGTATGCAAACTAATATCTAATTTTTGATGTATCAGAATTTCCATCAATTCCTGAAAAGAAGTAATACTTCTCCAGCTTGGTATATATAGGCAATGGAGGCTTGTTGATACCAAAAGTTTGCTGCCAAATTTTATTTGGTTTTCTCCATGTGCTGTTAGAAAGAGGCTTTAATCATAAATCACAATTTACTGCAATGTGTTAGCAAATATTGAACAAAATTTCTGATATGGTTGATCAAAAGATAGCAATCATCTTGAAACATGACACGTCTCACAATGCATTATAGGCATGAATCTGAGAACATCTACTATTTTTCTGCATCTCAAAAGTGAATCAGTGAAGGATATGATAGAGTTTACCTTCCAACATTTTCACAATGCTATTTGGTTTCTCCTTCGTGTGTACTTGTTCATCACTGACCTACCAGTAATCTCCACAAGAGCACAATCCATCCTTAACTGATGAAACCTACTCGAATCCCTTACTGTTACCTCCCTCCCTACAATTTTGGTTATAACCTTAATTGCAGCATGGCAATCCGTGCATGCCCTCAGGTTCTTCATCACCAGTTTAGGTGTTCCTGGTGGTGTATTTAGTAAAGCAAATGCAATGGCTAGCCTTTCACCGTGGTACCTCAATGATTCAATTTTGATCCTCATCCACCAAATGAAGTGCACACCTGGAATCAGACTTGTCACCTTCCTTATCCATCTCCTCACTCAACTTCTCTAGCAGAGCTCTAATTTCATTTATCTGAGGATTCATCTTGTCATCAGAAGAAAATGTGTAGATCTTTTGCTTAATCTCAACCCAGCTATAAGCTGGTTCCTTCCTCACGCCACGGTCCCTCATCATCTTCTTAACCTTGGCAGCATCATCCCATTGGCCAGCTTTAGCATAGACGTTTGACATGATGACAAAAGGAGAAGCATCCTTTAGCTCCATGCAGAAAAGTTTGTCAGCTGCCCGTCGTGCCAATTCTTGGTTCCCATGTATCCTACATGAATTTAGAATTGAGTTCCATATAATCTGATCAGCCTCGAAAGGCATCTGATCAAGTAGCCTTTCCACCTCATCAAAACGCCCGACTCGACCCATCAAATCTATGATGCAAGCATAATGTTCCTTCCTTGGTTTCAGTCCATATAATTCTGTCATCGAATCAAAATATTGCAGCCCTTCTTCCACAAGGCCACTGTGATTACAAGCAGAAAGAACACCGAGAATGGTGATAGCATCTGGTTTGACATCCTGTCGGAGCATGTCTTCAAATAGTTTGATAGCCTTAGTCCCCTGCCCGTTTTGTGCATAAGCAGACATCATTGCATTCCATGAGACGATGTTCTTATCTGGCATCTCATCAAATGTCTTTTGAGTCTCAACAAAGCATCCACATTTTGCATACATGTCGAGAAGCGCACTTCCTGAGAAAACATTAGGAATGCAACCACATCTGATTAAATAAGAATGCAACTGCTTTCCCATTGAAAGTAGAGCCAGACTAGCCGAAGCCCTTAAGATACTAGAAAATGTAGCTCTATCTGGGTTCAAGCCAGATCTCCTCATCTCACAGAATAGGCTCAACGCTTCTTCATAGAGAGCATTCTCTATGTAACCTGAGATCATTGCCGTCCATGACACGATGTTCCTATTAATTTTTTTCCTAAAAATCATCTCTGCCGTCTCGAGAAGACCACATTTTGAGTACATGTCAATAAGGGCATTGCACATGAGATCATCAGATGAAGACTCTGTGAGAATTATTTGGGCATGGATTTGTCTCCCCATCACAAGATCAGGGAGAGCTCCAGCAAAACTTAGAAGACTAGGAAAAGGAAATCGTCTCCTATCAAAGCCACAGAATTGCATCTCTTTAAAGAGCTTCATTAATTCTTCAGTCTGTCCATTCCAGGCGTAGCCAGATATCATTACATTGTAAGAAACATTGTCCCTCTCTGCCATCTCATCAAAAAGTGCCTTGGCTTCAGTCAAGCTATCACATTTTGAGTAGAAGTCCAGCAATGAGTTGCATGCAAAGACATCCCAACCAAAATTTGTTTTGGTGACAAGACTATGGACCTGTCGGCCAAGACCAAAATTGCACAAGCCGGTAGCAGCAGTTAGAATGCCAGAGAACGTAAATTGTGATGGCTTGACTGACAAGTTCCGCATCATGATGAACAGCTCCAGTGCCTCATAATACAATCCTTCTTTCGAGTAACCCATCACCATAGCATTAAAAGTGACAGAATCCCTTTCATGCATCTCATCAAATACTCTTCTACCTAATCGAACAAGACCACACTTGCAGTACGAGTCCACCAAGGTGTTGCACACCATAACTCTATCACCGAATCCACACTTGACAACATGGGCATGAACCTGAACAACCCAACCTGATGCATCGGGAGAACCGCAAGAACTTAGCAGTGCAACTATTGCAACATGATCAGGCCTGATTCCTGATCTCAACATGGACCGGAAGAGGTCGAAGGCATCCTGATGTTGGGTGGCCTGGGAGTAGGCACCAATCATGATGGTCCATGTGACTGCAGTGCGATCCGCCGTGCGATCAAACAGGTGACGTGCCTCATCGAGGTATCCACACTTAGCATAGCCAGAGATCATGCGGTTAGCAGTGAAGGTATTCTTAAGAGGCATTTCATCGAACAACTGACGTGCTCTCAAGAGTTGCCCCTCGTCAAGAAGAGATTCGACTAGGCGGTTGGAGTAGTAAGTTTGGAGATCAAAGCCAGTTTTGATCATTTGGGCATCGACATGGTATGCACTACTATTGGATTTAAACAGTTTGGACGGGAAAGAGGTGATCGATGGAAATACTTTTTTGGGTTTAAATAGTTTCATACCAAGTGGGATTCTAAGGTTCTCAAATTAAGTTACTCCACCAAGCAATTTATACCACAAATGAATGCCTATCTAGCAGAAAACATTCCACTTTAGACCAAAAGTTCAGGTTCCTAAAGACAGGGCTAACATTCTCTACAGCACATGCAATTGCTGGATCCAAAAGAAAAGAATCTAACGATTGCTATGAATACAGGCTTTCCCAGTTTACCTGTGCAGCACTGGCACTCTGAACTTGTCATTTTGGCTCATCAAAATGCTTTGAAGTAGGCATTCTGCCACTCTCACTGGGTGTTCGCTCATTTGCTTAGCCTACTATGTATGGCACTCTCTCTTTAACTTGGACACCAGAGAATGCTGAATACAATATCAAACATGAGAGAGAGAGAGAGAGAGAGAGAGAGAGATTATATCGGACTACCATTTTATTATTTTCTTTATTTTTATTGAAGAAAAGAAGGTTGAATCACACAAAACTTGGTTCATGTATTCTTTTCTTTTACCAACAAAAAAGAAAAACCATATATTCCTTTCCAAAACAAATACAACCAATGCCCACAGCACACAACACATGATCAGGGTTTTAGTATCATGAGAAAAATTCTATCTGTTTGCAAGGAGAAGATTTCCTATATCAATTCTTTTCTCGAATGAGTTTGCAATGTGTTTAGTTTTATGTTACATGTTCAACAAAACTTGGATATCTACCTATGACTAGGAATTCAGAGATCCTGAGTTCTTGAACATTGGAATTGAACTCAAAAATGAAGTGACAACTGCTACTTCATTTTACTTTGGATCTTTAAATCCATATCAAATGCCTTTTTTCCTCTTTTTCGTGTGAGTAGATGTGGGGAAGCAAATACCGCACACTATCATCTGCATCATCATCAGCTAAACTATCTTCTTTAGCATTTCTGTCACGCCCTCTTCTCACAGGAGACTGCTGCATGGTGTGATCATCATCATCGACATGGAGGTCACCAAAGCCTTTCAAGAACATCACATGCCTCCCCGGAGAACACACTGCAAACACGCATAAGCTGAACGGTAGAATCTAAATGGTTGTGATGCAAATGGCAGCAGAAATCATGTACATCTTCTCCGTGCCATCTTTGCAGCTAGTTTGCTTAAATGGTCGAGCACTTAACATGATCCTTAGTATACGAGGAAGGAGACACAGAGAGAGAGAGAGAGAGAGAAAACAACAAGCCCTCATATCCAGAAGATTATGACATTCCAATTTAGTTCTATAATGGACGTAGATAAAAGATCTGAATTGATTTACAAAGATCCAATGGGTGTCCTATCAGCAACTTAAATTGATTTGATTCAATACCTGTAGAACGGTTTGTGACAGATCAAGTGAATTCTACTGGTGCCTCCATCTAGCATTTTCTTTTCTTTTCCCTCTTTCAGATCATCTTCCTCGGAAAAAGCTCAAAAGCTTATGTATGGGAAAGGAGTGCCATTTGTTCTACAATCTACATTCATGGCAAACCTAGTAGATCAACACCACCAAGTATCAGGAGTAACACTTGATGAGTTTCTGGAGAACCTGCTCATCTTCAGATCAGACAAATATCATTGTTCCCATGTTGAACTCACTAGTATCTTGCATCACTAACCGCGATACAAAAACTACTTACAAATCATGGTCATTCAGCATGGAAGAGGAAATATTCGATACAATGTATACAGAGGATAAAGGAGACGGTCCAAGATACTTAGCAACTTGATGTACAAGAGACAGCTAAAGATACACAGCAAGACAAGTACTTGTTTTATGTTGTTTTTGAACTTCTTGATCACTTTGCGACAATAAGCTCATCCAGATTCTCAGCATCAGTGCTTTCGGAGGGCATCATAAGGATGCCATCATCAGTAGTAAAATGGTACCGCTCCCCGATTGCCCTTAGAAACTGGTACACTTCAAACATGGTAGGCCTCTCCTTGGGACCAGATAAAGCACAAACGCAAGCGACTTTCATAAACTGGAGCAGCTCACTGTCATAGTCCTTCCCGATCAATGACTTGTCGATTGCATCCTGCAGAAGAGAGTTATTTGAAAGGAAGGTTATCCACTCCACCAAACTGCCTCGGAAGCTTTCCGAAGCATTAGACACTTGTGTGGGTTTTTCCCCAGTAACCAATTCAAGGAGGACTACTCCGAAGCTGTAAACATCACCCTTTGGTGTTGCGACTAGTGTGCGAGCATACTCGGGGGCTACATAACCCAGGTCGCCAAACTCACCGTTCACGAAAGTGCTGAGATGCGTGTCGATGGGATTCATCAGCCTTGCAAGTCCAAAATCAGATATTTTAGGCTCGTAATCCTCATCCAGTAGGATGCATTTGGAACTGATATTACGGTGAAGAATGCGGGGATTGCAGCTGTGGTGAAGCCATGCCAATCCCTTTGCTGCTCCAATGCTGATCTTTAGCCTTGTTGGCCATTCCATACTTCCGCCTTGCGCACCTGAGCCATGTAGCTGATCGTAGAGAGTCCCCTTGGCCATGTACTTGTACACCAAGAGCCTCTCCTTCTTCGCACTGCAATAACCCAATAAGGGAACCAAGTTTTGATGCCTGACATTTCCCAGCGTTGCCATCTCAGATACAAACTGGTTTTCAGATTGCTGTGAGTCCTGTAACCTCTTGATAGCAAGAAAAGTGCCATCTGGAAGTGTTGCCTTGTACATCGTCCCTGTCCTGCCGGTACCAATTATGTTTTCATTGTCAAAATCATTGGTCGCCTTCATGAGATCAATCAATTGCATTTTCGACACAGATTTCTCGAACATAGAAACCTACCCATAAAAAAATCAACCTTTAAGGTTCACATAGATTAAGCAGCAATACAGAATGAGGTGAAAAATAAGAAAGAGAAGCCATCATAGCAAACTAGAATGCAAATTTCAGCTCATTAACAAAATGAAGAGAAAAGTCAACTTGCCTTGGCGTGTTTAACTCCTTTTATAGATTTTGCCCACTTGTTTTCTTCGATGACCGTGTCTTTCTTCTCTTTCTTCTTGACGGGCATTTTGCGCATGCAGAAGTATAAAACAACTGCAACAACGATAATGGTTATCACAACACCACCAACAGCTGAGCCTATAATTACCCCGGTATTAGTCTTCTTTGAAGTCCCTGTGCAATCAACATTCAAAATATCCCCACAAAGATTAAGGTTGTTCGAAAAGCTCGACTGCGGAAATTTGGTATTCAATATAGGAATTGGGCCAGACAGCTGGTTGTCAGAAACATCAAAATCTATCAGTCGTGCAAGGCGAATCAGTTGCCCAGGGATTTGTCCGGTCAATTTATTGTGCTGAAGCTTAAGGGAATTAAGATAACTGCAGTCGGAGAGATTCACCGGAATTTCACCCGAGAAACCATTGAATGAAAGATCAAGTGCTGTGACAAATGGGATCTTTCTTGAAATATCAGCAGGAATTGGTCCAGAAAGGCTGTTGCTTGAGAGATCCAGACCGGTCAAGCTTGTGCAATTCTCAAGTCCCGAAGGGAATTCGCCTTGAAGCCCCATGTTGGAAAGCCGCAGGTTAAGGACCCTGTTTTCATCAGGATGCCAACACTCCACACCGGCAAACCTGCATATGGCCCCTTCTGATTTGTTGTCGAAATTCCATGAGTAGGTTAGGCTGTTTTCAGGGTCTTTTAGCGATTTATGTATGAGTTCTAAACATTGGATGTCACTCACAGTACCATAACTTATGTTATTGAGCAAAAACCAAATAAGCATCTGCAGAAGAGTAACGGAAAGTCTGCACTTCATGGCCACAGACATGCAAATTTCTACTTGCTTCCCCTTCTCCAGCTAAACACAGGGAACAGGATCGAATACAACATCACCCGCCATTATATATTCCAAGATTCAGCTCTACCTAAATGAAAAATACAACCGAATTAGATAAATAGAAAAGATATCCATGAGCACAAGCAGTCCGAGTATTCCAGTGTCATTACTAATGTAGATTTCATAACATATCAGCTTAATTCTCAAGCTGTTAAAATGATCATCAACCAATAACATCATAATTGACACAGAACTAGAGCAACTATCGATTAATCATACACCAGCTTGCAGAAGACGAGTCTAAAACAAGACAGTGACTCATTTGACACCACTTTCGTAATGCCAGACAGAACATTTTGATCACCACCTCGGCCAGCGTGCATGCAATTCTACATTGCTGCTTCAATTTCATTCACAATCTAGAAAACCACGAACGACAGCAAATAAGCACTTTTAACACAACTACGATAGGTATTAAAGGCACCAATAGTAATCCCACAGTATTATGATCTAAATTCTAATGATTAAACTCTACTCTACTCCCACCTATCACATGTTGTGGAACCATGTTCTTACTTTGAACATTGTACAAAACCTAGGAATGTAATTGGAACAAGTATCCTATTCTCTAATGTGGAGAAGCATTTAGATCGCACCTGGAAGGAAAGAAAGCCCACATCGACCCAAACAATATAATTTCTTCAAATTATACAGGATCAAACATTCAATAACTACAGGGTTTTTCTTTTAGAAAACTGAAGTTGCAAAGCTAAGATTTGATAAGAAATTATGATGAATGACTTGAACTCATGACTTCCCAGCAGTAACCACAAGTGATCCAAACGTATATCTAAACTTCAATATATTAGGCAAGAATTTCTCACAGGATTCCCACCAAAATTGTTAGAGCTAGCCCCAGGATATTTACCAAAGGATAATTTTGGCAACACAACAAAGACAATAAAGCGGAAAGAATAAAGCGACAAGAACAAACAAAACACCAGAACACCAGATATACGTGGTTCGGTCAATTGACTTTGACCTACATCCACGGAAGAAAGAGGAGCAAATTACTACTATAAAAGAGGGACACTTACAAATGCCTTAGGAAATGTTCCTAGGCCATAAAACACCTTCAGCTTCCTAAACAAGAAGACTTCAAACCATAAGCAGGTTTTCTTGTGATGCCTGCTGTACTTCTTGTGGTGTGTCTAACATCAAAGCTCAGGCCCTTATTTATAGTTCCAAGACGAGACAACAAGTCTGATTTTCCCGATGTGGGACTATGGGACTTGCCAAACTAAT